AATGCTGGTGAGGATATAAACAACAGGAACTGTCATTCATTCCTGATAGAAGGTACAGCACTTTGGAGTACAATTGGGCAGTTTCTTATAAAATTAAACATATTCTTATCATACAATTCAGCGATCACACTCTTTGGTATTTTCCCAAAGGAGTTGAAAACTTATGTCCACGTGAAAACTTGCACTCAGGTGTCCATAGCAGCTTCATACATATTTGTCAACATTTGAAAGCAACCAAGATGTCTTTCAACAGGAAATGAACAAATAAACTGGTATGTCCAGACTATAGAATATTATTCAGTGCTAAAATGAAATGAGCTATTAGGTCATAAAGACATGGAGGAAATTTAAATGTATGTATATTACTAAGTGAAAGAAGCCCCCTGGGAAAAGACTATACACTGTATGATTCTAGCCACATGACATTCTTAAAAAGGCAAAATTATGGAGACAATTTTTAACAAATTGCTGGACAGTAAAAGTTGCTATTTGAGTTTTGGGGAGGGAGACATGAATAGGTGAAACACAGGGGACTTTTAGGGCGGTGAAACTACGTATTATTATGTCATAATGGTGGCCACGTCATCACAGGCTGTATTACACAAAAGTGAACTCTAATGTAACCTGCAGACTTTGGGTGATAATGATGTACAAATGTCATTTCCTCAGTTGTAACAGGTGTAGCACTCTGGTGAGGGGAGTTGATAAATCATCAATCTGTGGAGTCCAAGGGGATCTCTGTGCTTTGCTCTCAATTTTGTTATAAACCTAAACTTCTTTTTAAAAAGTGTTAAATTTTTTCTATGCATTTCAGAAGACCTCTAAAAGAGAATAGAGTCATGAGTACCAATCCATACAAATGGTTAGAACTGCTCAAACAAAGAAATAAATGACAACTGAGTCCAAAGCGCCTTAATAATATATTAAGGATTAACCATGTTCACTGCTCGCTCTTCTTTTTCTGGCAGCCATTATCTTAACCCTGACATTATGGGGATCTAACATTTGAATTTTAAGAAATAAGAATTGGAGTCTTTCAGTACCCCTAATTTAAGCTGAAACAGCCTTACCTATAGGGATGCATCTATTCATAATGTGATTACATGTATAAATAGAAAAATATTGTGTGCTTAGTCACTCAGGCATCTTTGCAACCCCATGGACTGTAGCCCGCCAGGCGGTTCTGTCCATGGGGATTCTCCAGACAGGAATACTGGTGTGGGTTGCCATGCCCTCCTCCAAGGGATCTTCCCAACCCAGGGATTGAACACAGGTCTCCCACTTTGCAGGTGGATTCTTTACCGTCTGAGCCACCAGGGAAACAATATATGTATATAAATATTGTATATTATATATGTTATTCTGTAAAGCTGTTTATAAACCTAAGATGTTAAACTTTTTTCATGACATCTAATATTAGTCCAAAAATGGACAAACTTATTTAAAATAAAACCATTAAACCATTTTGATAGGAGATATTTTATTGGTGGAATCATGTATATAACTAAAAGGTGATATTTAACAATTTAAAGGGAAGCATGCCCAGACCATAGCCCACCAACCGCAATCCTGTTCCCACATACAGCCAGGGCCACCTGCATCCCAGCCTGCAGTCCAGAGGAAGTCCTTGCTGAGCACCATGGAAAGGTCACTAAATTAGACATTAGGAATATCTGAAGTCTAATCCCTGTTCCAAAGCAAACTCATTCTGACCTCACCAAATAACATCTTACATCTGTGAGTGTCTTATGTGCCAAGGCAGGTATATAAGTGTAGTAGTGTAGTGTGAATTACTCAGTTGTGTCAGACTCTGTAACCCCATGGACTATGACCCAGCAGGCTCCTCTGTCCATGGAATTCTCTAGGCAAGAATACTGGAGTGGGTTGCCATTCCCTTCTCCAAGGGAGATTCCTGACTCAGGGATTGAACCCAAGTCTCCTACATGGCAAGCAAACTCTTTACCACATGAGCCACCTCCTGGTTTTTATTTTTTGTTAAGTGTCAATATTTGAAACTCTCTAATGTTTCTTGGGGATTCTTGGCATCTTTTCCTCTACCTCAATAAAAATAAGGCCAAAGGCCAGACAGGTAGGCAGACAGACAGATGCATACATCAACACCATTTCTCAATGCAAATTTTATTTATTTTTTACTTTTATTGCATGTCCTGGCAAACATAAGTGGCTTGTGGATTTGCCTCTGGCTCATCCAAAGCCCATTGCCCCAAACTCCAAAAGACAAGCAACTGAAACTTAAAAAAAAAAAAAAAAAGCATCACATCTATAAGGAAAAAAAAACTTTCAAAAACATTAATAAAGCATATAAAACATTTGGCATTGACTTAATTTTTCACAATTATAAAAATAATAAAAAAATGCAACCCTTAAACATTCAACACCCCACATACTGTATTTTAGGGGAGTATCAAGAAAACAAAAGGTAAATGGATTTAATGAAGAAAAGTTCTATTCTCCATTTCCATTTCTAATCAACTTGAAACAAAAATGTATCCATTCTTCAGCCAACTGTACTATGAGGCCACATTAGAACTCCATTAAGCCCATGCCCCCTTTTCTGTCCTTAATATTCTTTCTCCCCTTATGCTAGTTACTCATACACTCAAAAAACGTTAGGTTTCAACCAGGATGTGAGAGGCCAGAAGTTGTGCCTCACTTTGGCTCATGCCAAACTCATGATGTATAGTACAGGAATTTGAGTCCTTAGTGCTACCCGAATAGTGCTGAGATAGCTCAGATGCCCTATGTTTATTCAAACACTCAGGACAGTCCAGGAAGCCATTTGTCCTTCTAGCATTGCGAAGGTGCGGCTTTCATTCTTCCCATTAATAGGCTTTCAAACCTGCATGCTTGCTCCACATATTAGCAGTGCTTATTACCATTTATGCACAATAAGACTTTGAAATCAAGGACTCACTCTCTTTAACATACAAAATTAAAAAAAAAATAAAAAAACAACTTTCCCTTCCCCCCATCTTACAGTAATGGTGTTTTTTTTTTTTTATTTGACATTGTAGTTTCATTAAATGATGTTTCCATGAAAATACAAAAACAATAATAATAATAAAAAAAATCTCAATGGTGGTTCTGGAAAACCCACTATCCCAAGAAGAGAAAGATAATAAAATACAAAGTATGCAATTTCACACGCAAAATATATATACACTTTTCAGATGAAACTTATATATTTTTGAGCCACATTAGCCCTTTTGCACTTTAAAATAAAATTGGATGCTTACGTGCAATGATAGCCCTTTACCAAAATGCACAGTAGGCTTTTAGAGCTCATTAGCAATATATACAAAATACTTGGTTTTGTGGTTTGAAAAAAAAGTATCTGCTATGAAGTATGTTTCTAAAACATGTATAGGAATATCTCCATTTACACTTTTTTTTTAATCTGAAGACAAGTCTCTGCTTATGCGATTCAAGCAACATCTCCAATGGAAAGCTTACCCTCTGATCTGTTGGGATATTTTTATGCGCATGAACAGTCCAGAAGAGAGATGGACGGGAAGTTGGGCTCTCACAGTTACTTTCAAACTAAATGAAACTAATATTATTCAAAAAGTTAAGTGATGTAGTAATAAAACTGACACTACAGGAAAACTGATCTCATAATTTTACATTTTCCAAATCAATACCCCTATTTTAAACCCTGAAGAGAGAAAGATCAACAAGCCTTTATATGCAGAATTTTATAGAATGTGAGGGTCACTGGAGGAAATATTTACCAAATAATACTATTTATGTTTCAAAAAGTCTTCCAAGTGCTTCAATTCATGGTTTACTGAGATCTCTTACTATTTAGAGGAGATGCAATGTCTGTAAGATTCCTGTTTTTCCTGGATATTCTTACTACATATTAAAGGTTGACTGCAAGAACTAGACAGGTGCATTCATCCCAATCAAATCAACCTTAATTTGCTAACCTTAAACAAGGGTAGCAAATGTGTAGTTGAGTTAATCAATCTAGTTGTGAAATTTAGTTTTCAAGCTTTTGTACTGGCAGCTAATGCTTTGCCAATAAATACTGAGAGTTAAGGTGTGTCTGGCATTAAACGTGAGGAGATTGTTTATATACCAGGACACATGGTGTCAGGTGCTACTGAATTGGCTGCAATGACTTTTTAAGGATTTTGACCACTATTCACATTCCCCAATCCCAACCAAAAGCAAGGGAGGATATTTCTTTTCCTCTGGTGAGTGATAGTGTAAACATGGACTTTTTCTTGTAATTGAACTATATCACCCCAAAGGCAAACACCATCAGTAGTAGGGATATCAGTAACATAAAATACACCAACATAGAGAATCGCATACATAGGTATCCAGTCTCACCCACATAATAACAAATAGATCTAAGCAAAGGTTGGATGTAACATGTGTTTAGCATCAAAAAGAACTGAAGGTACCTACATGTCATTGTCACTCACAAAAACTATCAAGATCTAGATACCTACTACCATTCATAGCTGACTTTGAGAGAAGTCAAAAGCAAGTAATCCAAAGCAAGTAAATTAGAGAAAAAAAAAAAGGTGATAAGTGCAACTCGATTTTTTTTCCTTTAAATTAGCAACACTCGATGCCCCCACCCAAAAATATATACTGTATATTTATATATTTATATGTATAGTCTTAGACTATAAGGGTGAAAATGCTTTATAAAAGTCAATGAGAGCTCTCTGCCGCTTAAGGAGACACCCACTGCTTTTTTGCTCACTTTTGCGTAGCCATGACAATTTCGGTCCTGCAAATAAGGGAGCTGAAGGCTTAAAGCCAGAAAGAATCAGGCGCCAGGTCAGACATTAGGTAAAACGTAGCCTCTTATTTCTCCTTCCCTTAAGAAACCGGACTGAAAAGAGGAAGGAGAGGAGCTAGGGAGAAGGCTTGGCTGGTCAAGCAGTAGTGCCTTGTGGGGAATGGGGCATAGAGGGTAGGCAGATGGGAAAATGGGAAGAGCCTGCACCACAACGCCCAGCTCACTCGCCCTCTTCTTTGATACGTTGTTGCTTGTTGCGCCGAGCATCCATGTCAAAGTTGAAATCATTCCACTCATCTCGGGGTGGGAAGGAGATGGTCTGGCGGAGGGTGAAGCGCACGGCGTCAATGACGCGCTCACCCCGGGTCTCACTGGAGCCCACGCTGACTGTGGAGGCGCCACTTGGGGTCCGCAGGAGGTGGGGAGGGGAGGAGAAGTCGTGGAGCTGCCGGTGGTCCAGGATGCCTTTCCAGATGACATGTCGGAATTGCTCAGGTATTTTTAGACTTGCCAAATCCTGTGCAATAGGGAAGTGAATCCAGGAGAATTAGGACAAAGAGACAAATTGACATTTAGTTCACACCATTTGGTTCCCAAATGCTTGGCTTTAACTGACCTGCATTTATTGAACTCTAAATTCGACAATAAAATCAGCTCTTTATGAATCTTTGAGATATACGTAACTAAGCACAAAGATACAGCCTTGAGGTGTCATCTCTTCTTGTAGAGTATTATATATAAGCTCTATTGGTTTCTGTTTCCTCATTGGTAAAATAGAGGTAATACTTAGATCACAGAACAAAAATCCCCAAACAAAAACACCAGGTAAAGGAATCTGGCAACTTTCAAATCTACCTGGCTCTAATCACTAGAAGAAAGATGTTAATAGAATGCTACCACTTCTCATAGGAGGAGATAGAAAAAAAAAAATATTACTAACAGATACTGAATACTTTCGACATGCCAGGCATTCAATGAATCATTTTTTATTCATCATCCTATTTAATGCTAAGATTTGTGGTCAGTATTATTATGCCTATTTTATAGACAGAAAAGCTGAAGGTTGAGAGGTTGATAAACCTAAAATTATATAATTAAGTGAATGAACTGGGAACTCAGGACAGCCTCTGAACCTGTCACTGTCCTGATGGTTGAAAGATCTTTTGGTGTTTGGATAAATCAGGGTATCAAAACACAGAGTAAGTGTCCACACTCTATGGATGGGGGCAGAAGGCATTACAAAGATGATTGATCTTAACTAACTGTGGTAGCATCTCTGTTTATCTGCATTAGCTCTTCATTAGTCTGTTTTAGTGATGGTTGACATTTTTGTATGGAGCAGCGTGGTAGGTAGAAAGAACATTGTGCTTGGCATCAGAAGACCTTGGCAGAAGTTCTTATTCTGTCACTGACTAGCTCTAGACCTCCCTCAAGTCATTTATTTCCTACTGGCCTCGGTTTGCTCATTGACAAAGTGGGATACAATTCCTTTTAAGGTCAACATATAATGTGGACTCATATGCAAATGTGGATATGAAAGTATATTGCAAATTATAAAACATACTATGTAAATCTCAGTCATCTGTATTATTACTATGTTATACCATGATTAACCCATTCTTGCATCTTAGAGGGAATACTTATAAAAACAGTGAAATTTAACCATATTATTTTCTAGGAAGTATGTGAAGTAACTAAGACTGGTATTGACAGACAAGCTGAAAAGGAAGTGTCTATTTCCAGTGATGAACAGGAAGAAGCTGAAGTGAGGAAGCAGAAATTAGATAGCCTCCCAATATTTCTTAATTTGGAAATGAGCAGTATGAGTACTCTAATTTCCTATTCTAGCAGGAGAATATATTATAAAGAAGTTAGTCCACAAATAGATAAGTGAGCATACCTCTGTATGCTTCTGAAACTCCAAATAAATCCAAACTCTCTGTAAACTAGGCTTCATTGAACTGCATTACTTTCTGGATAAATCTGAACTTATCCTGATGGGTGGGATAGCTGTGGCCTAGAGCTTGGCCCAGGACTTAACTAATACCAGTAGAGATGGACTTGCGGAGAACATCGGTGGATCCTAACAACCAAAGAGGCATCCTGACACAGCCCCCATTGGGGACAAGTGAGTAAGTAGAGGACAAAACTTTAAAAATATAAGGAAGGGACAGAGTTCCTGTTCCATCATGTAAGGTTCTCAAACACAGCACAACACAATGACTTGTGTCAAACTGCCTTCAGTGGATGGGCATCATTGTGAGGTTCTTGGAAACCTGTTGGAACGTACTCCTAAAGTTTTCTTGTGGCTTTGACTTGTAATTTCTTCCATTAGGGAGCAGCAGCCAGGTGGTTGAGGGGTGAAGAAGGACGGGTATAGGGGCAGGGCAGCATACTCATTACCACAGGGCAGGGGTGTTCTTACACTGCAGGGCTCTCTCTGGCTTCGGTGCTCAAGGAGTGGGGCAAAAAAAGGTCTCAACTACAGAAGCAGCAGCAGAGGCAGAGAATATCTTCTTCCACCAGCCCAAGGGCCCTCTGGAAGCTAGAAGGGAGGAGAGTGGACCCCAAACAGAGCAGCATATAGCATAGCCTGGGAGTAAAACCAGATTGCTGTAAACCAGAATGAAATGAGCTCCCACCCACATGAGCAGTAGTTCAAGAGGGACTGTAGAAGCAAGAATAAGTTCCCTCCCATCCAGGTTGCTCTAAAGGCTATCAAAGCCAGAAGGCAGTGATTATGAACCCAATTTGATTAACTGAGACCCAGAGAAGCAAAGTGATTACACCATGTTCTTATCACCACTAAAAAGAATGACTAGGACTTGAACTCATAACCAGTGCTCTTTCCCAGTGGTCAGGGATGCCTGGACCCTATTCTGGTAGATTTGATCATGAACAAACATATGGTTCTTATTGAGAGACACAGCTCAATCCCCTATCATGTCCTATTTTAAGGAAAGGCAGAAAAGTTCAGTTAATAGGGTGAAAGGCTAGAAACTTACACCTCGGTGTTCTATTCCTGGTTCTGACATCAACTAATCCAGCCAAATGACTATACTGTTGTCCCCCCATGTTTTAAAGTGAGAATAACATCACCAGCTTCCTGCTCTCCTCGCTGGGATCTTACACAAATTAATGAGAACTTCCAGAAAGTCCTCTGAACCCTTCAGAGATCATATATTCCTTGAAGGTGGGAATCAGATCTTTCTCCTACTCTGCACATAGTATGCACATAATAGAAGACTGCTGACTGATCAGACAAGCTGAGGATGGCTGAGTCCTGAGCTTCTCAAATGTAGAGGTGGAGGTCTGGGGACCTTTCTAATATAGTTATGGGTTTCATCAAAATTGAGGATTGTGGATAGACAAAAACAGAGGGGATTCAATTACAAGGTGGATGTCACCAGAGGGAGGAAATTAAGAAATAAAACTCAAGAGAAAAGTCTAACAGTTACTTACATCCATGGAGTAATGCTCAATCTGATAGATGGTGGTCAGCCCCTGGGTCGTGAAATAGTCCAGACATGATGAACAGCCCAACCTTGCTAAGAAACTGCAGAGGGAGGAGGGAAGAGGAAGGAGGAAACAGAAAAAGAAAGTTCACCCCAACTGCATTGGCAAGATAAAGGAAAACCCAACATTTTTCCCTGGGATGCCCTACAGAAGAGACTAGGGGTAGATAAAATATATGTGGGGCCTTGGATTGGAGGTTTCGGGATGATTAGTGACATAATCTTTAATTTAGATCTACAGAGATTAAAGTCAACTGTTTAAGGATTTCTGTAGAGCAGAGATTTTTCATGGTGAATGAGTGGAGATCCAGGGGTTGCGTATCAGTGCCATAGGAGCCATTGCAGGGGGTGAAGAGAAGGAGTCCAGTGCTCAGGTTTCCAGCCCTCTTGCCTCCTGGCCCTTCACTTCAAAAATAGCATCTCCACTTTGATTGCTTGTATCTGAGGTTTCTGAGAATGGTTTATGTGGCTAAGGAAAAATTGTAGGCCACCATACTGTGAAGTCATCAACACTTTCTGATTTATGTCCTCTTCAAAATACAGATCCCCTTCTTTTCTTTCCTAGTCTCAGATCAATGGTACCACAATTATCATAGAGCCAGATACTGGATGGGATGAGCCATGCACGTGGCCATCTCTCTGACTGACACTGCTAATGCTGCGGCATCAGTCACGTGGGAACCAACACTTATTATTCCAGCAGTCAAGTGAAAAAGTCCTTCTGCACATGAAGCACGAGCAGATGATAGGCAACAGGCATGAGATTTGGACACCTACGCTTGCCTCTGCTGGAAACAAATTTCTAGGTTTCACAGCTTTCTTCCTTCTGGCTATCTGAACTCCCTTTCCTGGAAGTCCCTGTTTCTCATACGACAAAGCAGAAGAGGCCACTGGCTTCTTGAGAGTCCCTGTCATTTTTGCTAACATTCAAACTTTTTGATGGACATCCAGCTTCAAAATAATGATCCCATGGTGGTTGAGAGCTATGAGGCCTAGAGAGCAGGAAAGGGAGCAAGATAGCAAGTTGACTGCCCTTTTGGGAACCCCAGCCCTGAGCACCAATTTAAAGGTCATAACTGACTGTAAAAATATGATGGAGGAGTAAGGGAGTAAGTGAAGACGGAGAAAACAGGCATAAACACTTATATGCCTATAAACTCACATTTTCACTTTTTCCCATGTTGATTATTATGGTTGCTTTGATTAAATACTACTGATGACTCCATAGATTAGAGATAACTGAACTTGAACCACAGGGTTGCTTGCTTTCTTTCCAGCTGTGCTATTAACTTTGATAGTGTCCACCCTCCACCACCCAGAGATGCTTAGGACAGGCCCCCAGGGGATATGCTGTGGACTCACCTGACAAGGCTGCAATCTGTGGGGTACGGAGGTGGGGGGGTGCAGTGGGAGGTGGATGGCATGGAGAGTGGGGGAGGGAGGGCCTGGGTGGGGCTGAGTCCATTCATGTCTCCAGCCATTGGCATGTGGGTGCCCATCATAGGAACTGAACAGAAGCAGGAGGAACAGAGAGGGTTACTGCTGTTATCACATACCAGCATCCTAGTGGTCCATCTCACCTGGTTTAACGTTACCAAGGGCCTAATCTACCAGCCTTCCTTTCCAGTCTTATCTCTCCCTACACCCCTCTAAGCACCTTACATCTCACTGAACAGAAGAGTTACCAAACTCCAAACTAATGACATACTTCTTGACCATGGGACATTCTCTTAGAGCAATCTCTTCCCATTCTGTTTTCTACTTCTACTGCTCTATCTCCTTCTAATACTTCCTGCTCCTGATGTTAATACAGTTCTCCTTGTATCTGCCTTCCTGAGTTATATTTCTGCCTCCTTCACTAGGCTAATCTCTAAGCATGGAGATTAGACATGATACATGTCTGGTTCCCCAGAGACCCAAGCACAGTGCCTGGTATAGAGCAGATGCCCAGGAAACTTAAGTTATGCGAACAAATGAACAAATTCATGAATGAGAAAGGGCCCTTTGGGATACTGGTTTGGGAATGAGAGAATTCACTGCAATATTTTTAGGGAACCAAGTGTCTCAGAAGGAAGGAGGCAATGAAAGACCCTAGCTCTTTTTTTTCTGGTCCATTTCAGGATTATGTTTGGGAACAACACCAACTTGGACTGGTTTCTTATTAAAGAACAAACTGTAAACACTCATAGAGAAGAAAAGCTCAATACCAATAATAATTATGAAACAGATTTTGTTTTCAGGTATAAAAGAATATAAAGCAAAAAAAATAACATGTCCACAAAAAGATGAAGGTAATTTGCTTCTATTTTAGTGAACTGTAGTTTACCAAAGGGGAAAGGCCTCTACCACCAGCTAGTCAGCTAGAGCGCACAGGCCAAGAATGTCTCATCAGTTCCCCTCTGACTTTCCTGATGCCACCAGAGGAAAATTATTAAGCATAAATAAGGAGAAAAGGATGCAAACTGTTACACAAATATGAAGGATCATTACCACTATCACTGTTTTGTCATCTCGAAAAAAAGTTGAGGACTCTAAGATCTCATCAGAGAGAAAGCAAAATAATAATAATAATAATAAATGGTTCCTTCCCCTTTTATTGCCAAAGTAGTAGACCTATTGAGGGGTCAGGTTTAGTCTTAGGATGTATTTGTCACTAGTGAGAGAGTGGTCTGGCTCTAATGTCTGCATTGCCATACCAAGGAACCAAACCTCATATACCTCTGATGTCAAAACAGTCTGAACAGGTGCTATCAGAACCAGAGAGAGTCACAATCCGAGCCTCCCTGCCTGGATGGGAGCAGAGTCTGGAGGAGAATGGGTACATGTATATGTGTAGCTGAGTCCCTTTGCTGAAACTGTCACAACACTGTTAATCAGCTATGCTCCAATACAAAATAAAAAGTTAAGAAAAAAAGAAAACCCAGTCTCTTCAAGGCAACAGTGAAATGCATATTTGAAGGATTGATCAAAAACATGAGGATTTCTAGGATAAGACTGAGGCACTGCTTTATGAGGGTGATTACAAGATACATAGATGTATTTAGGCTTTGTAACCCTTCTGTATTTTTACCATCTCACTGCGTGTTTGCTATCTTTTTTTTTTTTTCTTTCAAGTTTGGATATCCACTCTGTTAGATTAAGTTCTAGTGGACAAGCTAATTATATTTACAGCAAAGCTATGTACCGATCAGCATCCATTTCCAGGCTCAATTCACACATTTTCTCTTATAGTTATACTTAGTTGATATGAGGAATCTGTGTGTGAGTAAATAAAAGGGAGGCTCCTTTTCCTATGTCGATTCTTTAATAACTGTGTATGGGATGAAGGGGATGATTTGAGAAGACCAAAAGTGTGGAGTCACAGACTGATAAACTGTTAAGTGTGCAGAGTGATAATTTTATGAATGGAAAACTGAGCATTAGATCAGAAAGGTGACTTGTCCAGAGTTACACAGCTGATACTGCAATGGAGTCCAGACTATAATATGTTTCTCTAGATTTTAAGTCCACCACACTATGCTGCTTCCAATAAGTTGGCCATGTTTCCTACTGACAATCTCAAAGATTGTAGAAGGTGGGTCCCCATCCAAGTTGGCAGGAAGCAGACTGTTCTTTCCACAGATATCCTAATCCCTACTAAAGGAACAGCTTTCTCCATCTCTACCAATGTGCTCTGCAATGAGTCACAGATCTTAAAAGGGAGACAACTTTGCCCAAGAGAAATTTAAGCCACTCAGCTTCAATCTGTCCTGTCTCTCTGTGACTCCCATACAGCTTCAGAGCAAGCCTTCCCCAATCCCAGAGCAGAGTCTTCCCCTACACTAGCCCTGCTGGTCCTCCAGCTGCAGCTCAAGGGAGATGCTCTTACTGTTGGCTCCCATGCCATCAGGAATGGTGGTGGGAGTGAGGGCGTTGCGCTGCTGAGGGTTGATAAGCTGGCTCACGGAAGGCAGCTTGTTCATGCTGTTCATTTTGTTCAGAGGTGGGGAGCTGTTACCGTAGGAAGACTGAGACTGCATCGAGGTCCTGGGAACACAAACACGGGAAGGATGGTAAGCACAGGATGCTGAGGAGTGGAGACCGGTCATTTCCAACAGGTCTCAGATTAAAACATGGCCCTAACTATATAGGTGTAAAACTATTCCTCCAGAGCAATGAGAGGAACTTATCTCTGTTTCCATCTGAGAACCTCTCCTGCCTTGGCAGGGATCACAAGGCTATCATCATATTGTATGTTTCCTACGTGACTATAGGACAGAGATGAGTATCTTCCTAAAGCATCTCCTTTGTGAGAGGGGAAATCATTGCATCTTCTTTTCCCCCTTTTGTTTTCTCCATCCCTCTCAATGTGAAAATCGAAAAGGGAAAAGAACCAAGTGAAGGCCAAAAGGCTTATGAAAGACATGGAGATGGTGAGCTAAAATTGTGGCTGAGGTGTTTCACCTGTAGCTGGAGCTTGCTTGGCCATTTGGGGTATGCAGAAAGGAACCATAAAGTCAATCAAACAGGGTATTTGGCAGCCATCGTGCAGAGGCCTCAACAGGGAAACATGCTTTCTCAGCTTAGCTATTCCTGGGCCATGAGGGATCCCATCAGAATACCAAGAGCCTGTCTACACAGAGGGCATCTGAGAGTCCAAACAATTGTTCTGTTAAGCTTCCACAAGTCTCTGGGGCATGTGTGTGTGTGTATGTTTGTGAGTGTGTGTGAGAGTGTGTGTATGTCTCTGTGAGTGTGTGTGTGTGTGTTTGTGTGTGTGTTTGTGCACGTGATCAGTTTTGTTCGACTGTTTATGACCCCATAAACTATAGCCTGCCAGGTTCCTCTGTCCACAGAATTTTTCAGGCAAGAATACTGGAGTGGGTTGCCATTTCCTACTCCAGGGGATCTTCTCCACCGAGAGATTAAATCTGCGTCTCTTAGAAAGGGAAGAAAAAATGCAGTTTTCCATTCAGCATTACTTTGATTTGCAAACTAACTAGAACTGGTTTGTCCTACTATGTATGATGGCTTCCCTGGTGGTGCAGTGGCAAAGAATCCACCTGCAATGCAGGAGATGCAGAAGACAGGTGTTCAATCTCTGGGTCAGGAAGATCCCCTGGAGGCGGGCATGGCAACCCACTCTAGTATTCTTGCTGGGGAAAATCCCATGGACAGAGGAGCCTGGTGGGCTATGGTCCGTGGTGTCACAAAGAGTCAGACAGAACTGCAGGGACTGAGAATGTACATAGCACTATGTATTACATTATATATGATATTCCCTATTCAGCTGCTATTCCTGACTTTGAATATAGAACTAATGATTTCTACCAGAATTAGGGGATATGGAATCAGAAATTCAAGACTTAAGTCTTCCTTCAGCATATATTAGAAAGCTATAGGTCCCTGTGCAAGCCAGTAAACATCCCTCAACATAAAACTAAAATGTTTGTAAACTAAATATATATATATATACTTACTGCACGAGTTAGATGCTAGACATGGGGAAACTCATAAGAAATTATCTCATCTCTGAGAAGCTCATAGAATAGAGGGTATATGGTGATTATAATCCAACCAACCTTGTAGAGCTATGGTAATAACTGAACAAGATAAGATGAGCAAGACTTGTACACACTATCAGACACTTACAGTGAGTAATCTGTGCCCATAAAATGAAGATTGGGCTGAGCATGTAAAAGGGGAAAACCTCCCCTATGACACTTTTCAAATAAGATGTATTATTTTGTTCCTATTTGTCTCCTCCCTGTTAGAGCCATACAAACTTGTATAGTCAAGTTTTGTTTGTGTGTGTATCAGATTTAGAAGGCTCTGTGCATGAATCCAAGTTCCAAACAAGCATGGTATAATAATGTATGAAAAAATAACTCTAACACCTGAGTGCTACAGTAGGGTTAGGCTTGGACTTCAAAGCTGCCACTCTGCATCCTCCATAATTACACAAGACATAGAAGCCTCCATTCCATATCACTGAACAGCTTTGGCCAGAGGAATTCAAATAATAGGCTATATTTGCATAAATGAACACAACATTCAATGTGCAATTGACAATTCAGTTGCATTTTACAATCGCTGCCTTAAAGCGGGAGGGTACTGATTTCTCACTTTAGACCTCCTCAAGAAGACAAGTTTAGATCCTTATTGTATAAACAGGTGTTTACATAATAAACTCTCCTAATTGTAAGATTGTTCAGGTTACCAAGCTCTCCTTTATCCATTTTCTGAATGAGTCTCACATGGACATGGGATGGCAGGGTACCGATGGGCAGAAACGATAATGCCTATTGTACAGATGGGTAAATATAAGACTCTAAGAAAAAATGGGCCCAAGTCATACATGGCTGTAAATGATGAGCTGAGAGGGCTCTTCTCTTAGTCCAAAGCATTTCCTTTCATTCTGTGGCACTTTCCCAGAAGTAAGACAGTGCAATAGGTTACACAATCAAGACGTAGGTAAAGTAGTGAAAGAAACATAGGAGGCTGAGACAAAGCACAGAACAAAGGATGTAGTAAAGGGAGTCCTAGGTATCCCCAGGTCCACTCCACCCCTGTGTGGAAGCCTTGCATGAGTCAACACGTTTGAATATACCTAGGAATATTTGTTAAGTTCACACTGAAGGGCAAGAAAGCTCAGGGCAGGGTGACCAAGAGAAACTTCACTAGGTGTTTCTTCCTTTATCTATACCCACCACAAAGTAACAAAGATGCCAGGTTGCCCAGACTCCAGAGGCAGACTTGTCCTCTGTAACCTAAAGAAATGTCTACTTATCCCTCCTACCCTCCCCAATTAGTCACATGTACAGCAAGAACTAATGGAAACATTGCTTGAAGCATTAATGTCCACCACTAAGGAGATCAGTCCTGGGTGTTCAGTGAAAGGACTGATGCTGAAGCTGAAACTCCAATACTTTGGCCACCTCATGCGAAGAGTCTCACTGGAAAAGACCCTGATGCTGGGAGGGATTGGAGGCAGGAGGAGAAGGGGATGACAGAGGATGAGATGGCTGGATGGCATCACCGACTCGATGGGCATGACTTTGAGTAAACTCCGGGAGCTGGTGATGGACAGGGAGGCTGGCGTGCTGAGATTCATGGGGTCGCAAAGAGTCAGACATGACTGAGCGACTGAACTGAACTGAACTGAACTGAGGAAAGTGAAAGTGTATTTAAAAGCTCTGAATTTTCCCTGGACCCTTAATTATAGTGAATACCTTCTTCCACCTCCTATTACAATGCCTTTCTCCTGTTCCCTTTGTGGTCTTTATTTTTCTATCATTTTATTAGTTCATTTTTAAACCACCTAAACTATTTTTGAGGAAGGTAGGTCACAAATGATAGATGAACAAAGAAGGAACATGAATTTTGGAACCAATCAAAACATCTGGGTTAGCATTTTAGATCTGACACAAATCAGTTAAGGGATTTTGGGTTTTTTACAAATCTCTCCAGTCTCATTTCCTTAATCTGTAGAGCAGGTATTACACTTACTCCAGAAGACTTGCTATGGAGATTAAATCAGATTATGTAAGAGTCCTGGATTTTGTCCTGTAAATTGTAGGTGCTCAAGAGACATTGCTGCCTTTTGCTCTTCACCTCCAGCTCCAAATGTTTAATGCTTTAGTGTGTGGTCAAGGGGATAAGAGGTGTCAGTTTAAGAATTAATAGGAAGAAGTGGCAAGGACTCTTAGCTGGACAAATCCAGAAATTAGGGTGAAGAGATGAATAAGAATAAGAGTCTGAAAAGTTCAGAAACTTTGAATGCATCTCCTTTAATGCTGAAGTGAGTGTTAAAGCTATAAGGAGAAAGGTTGTGGTCATCTGTTTATTATAAGCTTGTATGTCTGATGTAGAAAATATTCTGAACACTTCTATGTGCTCTGGAAAAGGGAGCAAAGCTGAAAAAAATCATGACCAATTTAAAGGCCTTGAAGAACAATTTTTTTTTTCCTTTACAAATCTAATGTCACAGTGTTTGAGCAGACAATCCTAAATATTGCTGGGGCATATGAGGAGATGGAAAAAGTGTTCAGAGACAACATAATCTGTGCCATTATGGTTTCTGTCCCCACTCAAAAAAGAAAATGTGCACACATAACACAATACACACACACTTAATGGAAAAAGTAAGAATTTAGATTTCCCCAGAAAAATAACAAGGTGTAAGCCTCAGGTCATTTTCTCTAGAGGTACTTTAGATTTTTTCAGGAATCCAACATACAAAAATTAGAAAAGGTACATTCCATGTATTTCTAGTTTTGAGTAGAAGTCCTGGTAAAATCAAGTTCTAATTCTTAACATTGTTAACGTAGGTTTCTGTGTATATTTCTAGGAATAAAATCCCATATCTCAGAACCACAAGAGAGCTTTAGGATCATCCAGGATTGAAATCGGGTTTCCAGATTCCAAGTCTAGTGAGTATATATGTGGCAGAGAGTTAAGATTCTTGAGAAGACACAAATTCAAAGTCTTTACCGCTTTGCTGGAGATGCCTAGAATTCCACCAAAGGATTCCTTCTGTGTCCTTCAATCTTCCATTTCTAAAGAAAAGGTAACTCTCTAGTGGAATCTGGCAATGTATCAGGGGGAAGCTATCTTACCAAACCATTGCTGGAGTGCAGTCTCGGATCCTGGAAACACCACAGGTATGAGAGGGGTCAAAAAAGAGCAGAGGGTTGGTGGCGGGGGGACATGGAGCATGAGAAAAGGTATGGTTCCTCTTGGAAATTCTGCCCACTACCATCCGCATGTAACTTTTCTCCCTATCTGGGGAATTTTGCTACTAAAGACAAAAGACAGTGTTTCTTCTCCAGCTAGATTAACTGTAATTATAAAATATGTTCCAGCAGTTCACATATATGCATGTATATAAACATCACTACAAACACATTAAAAACTTCCATAAAAATAGAGTGAATTTCAGAACAAAAAGTCTGAAAGAAAGTGCAAATGTTAAAAAACTACACATATTTACTCAGAACTCCTTAAAAGGAAAGTGAAACCTGTGCCAATGTAACAAGATAATATGA